TACATTGACTGTTTCCACAAAGAACTCAACAAGGTGGCTCATGCTCCCGAAGAGTCCATCCGAACACTCATAATAGCTGGAGTTCGCCCGCAAACCGACCTGTGGAAAGAATTACAGGCTGAGAACAATGTTTCCCTCACCAGATTCTATAACCTTGCGGAGAAATACCTCTGGATAGAAAATTCGCTGGCGGCACTCCGCCGTCACGACTTCGACGCTTCTGGCAGTATGTCTGGTAGGGGGAAAGCCGAAGGGCTGATCGCAGAGCGGCCACCGATGATCAGCGAAAAGGGAAGAAACCTCACTACGAGCTCAGAAAGTCCTATGCACTTGTTCCTTGTCGCGATGGCGACAGGCACCAATATACTCCACTGAACGCCTCTATATCTGCCATTCTTGATAAATCCGAAGAAGCTAGTTTGCTCGGAGAGCCTGAGCCCATGAAAACCCACGCGACAGCCAGAAATAACAAAAAGTACTGTCGCTATCATCGGGACAACGGGCACCATACTGATGAGTGCCGAGCTCTGAAACAAGCAATCGAAGAGCTTATTAAGAAGGGGCAATTCAAGGAATACATTGATGACTCTGCTCCCTCGAAACAAAAAGATCGGGGGGAGCCGAGTAAGAAGCGCAGCGATCAGAAAGGGGTATTTATTCTCAATTTGATTTTTGGGGGACCGCACTTCGCTGGAAATTCGCGAGGTGCCTTAGAAAGGTATGCTCGCGAAGCACATCACGACCCCATTAGAGTGATGAGTACGGAACAACGACCGCAAAAGGTTCGTAGGGAGGTGGAAATCTCCTTCTCCGAACAGGATGTAGCCAGGTTGCATCATCCCCACGACGACGCCCTTGTAATCACTCCCCTGATAGGGCGCTATAACACCCAGAGAATGTTAGTGGATAACAGAAGTGTTGTGAACATCCTGTTCGCATCCACTTTTGAAAGGATGAATCTAGATGAGGCCGACCTGAAGCCTACCTCATTCCCTCTGTACATTCACGGGAGACCATCTACTCCCCAAGGGAAAAATCTCACTCCCAGTCACGCGGGGCGATTTTGACGAAGTGACCAAGGTAATTGAGTTCTTAGTGGTAGACTGCCCATTAGCCTTCAATGGGATCCTTGGGCGACCTCTGCTAAGACAGTTCAAGGTTGTCACTTCAATTTACTATCTGAAGATGAAGTTCTCCACCCCGACGGGGATCAAGGAAGTCAGCGGGTCTTAGCGCGCATCGCGCGACTGCTATGTAAAAGCGGTGCAGATGGCGTACAAAGGAAAGGGCACCTCGTGCAGCAATCATAGGCAGGCCATGGCGATCAGCAGGATCGATCCACGACCTGTTCTGACCGAGGACAACCTAGACCCTCACATTCAAGACTGCCATTCCAGTGGGCCAGTTGAGGACCTGACTAAAGTGCTGGTCGACTAGAAAGAGCCGAGCAGGGTGTTAAGAGTCGGTAAAAATCTCAATCTCCAGCTCGCTACCGAACTGACAGGCTTCCTCAAGGAAAATATCGATGTGTTCGCTTGGTCGCACGCAGATATGGTCGGGATCAGCCTGGATGTCATTTGCCATGCATTAAATATCGATAGCGAAGCCAAACCAGTTCGCCAGAAATGAAGAGCGATGGATCCAGAGCGGTACTCCGCCCTAAAGCTAGAGGTGGACAACCTTCTCAATAACAGATCCATCCGGGAGGCACTATACCCGACCTGGGTCGCCAACCCGGTTCTGGTAAAGAAGCCCAATGGCAAGTGGCGAACCTACGTTGACTTTAGCGACCTCAATAAAGCTTGCCCCAAAGACAGCTTCCCCTTGCCAAGGATCGACCAGCTCGTGGATGCCACCTCGGGGCACAAGCTGCTAAGTTTCATGGATGCATACTCGGGGTATAATCAGATTCCGATGTATGCGCCAGACGAAGAGCACACATCTTTCATTACAGATCAGGGACTGTATTGCTATAAGGTCATGCCCTTCGGCCTCAAGAACGCTGGCGTGACCTACTAGCGGCTGGTTAACCGGATGTTCTCCGACCAGATCGGCAAGTCAATGGAGGTCTACGTAGATGACATGTTGGTCAAATCCCATGTCGCTTCAGATCACGTAGCATATCTCGCAAAGATCTTTGATATCCTCTGGCTGTACAGAATGAAACTGAACCCGCTCAAGTGTTCGTTCGGGGTATCCTTGGGTAAGTTCCTAGGGTACATGGTTAACCAGCAGGGAATAGAAATCAACCCCGAAAAAATTCAAGCTCTCCTCGATATGGAAAGCCCGACCAACAAAAAACAAGTTATGAGTCTTAACGGGCGAATAGCGGCACTTAGTCGTTTCATATCGAGGTTAACAGATCGCTGCTTGCCGTTTTTCAATGTTCTGAAGGCCAATAAGAAATTCGAATGGACTCCCGAATGCGAACAAGCATTCCAAAGTATAAAAGAACACCTCGGGAAGCCACCTCTCCTCTCCAAGCCTCTTCTGCAAGAGATCTTGCCCCTGTACTTGTCCGTCTCTCAGTTCGGGTCAGTGCAACCCTAATTCGAGAAGAGGAAAAAGTTCAATGGCCTGTTTACTACGCGAGCAAGCGCCTGTCGGATGCTGAGATGCGGTATCTGGAAATGGCACAATTAGCCTATGCCCTACTGATCGCTTCCAGAAAGCTGCGACCTTACTTCCACGCCCATACGATCCACGTAATGACTAATTACCCCTTCAGGAAGGTCCTCTAGAAGCCAGAAGCCTCGGGTAAACTGCTCAAATGGGCCATGGAATTAAGCCAGTTCGACTTGAAGTACAAGCCCAGGTCGACCATCAAAGGGCAAGCTGTTGCTGACTTCATTTCAGAATTCTCTTATCTCCCGAATGAGTCAGAGCAACAGCCCAGCGTAGCCATCCAAGAGACCATTCAGAACCTATCGACCTGGAGCCTCTATGTCGATGGGTCATCGACCAGGAAAAGGGCAGGAGCTGGTCTCCTCCTCTTGAGTCCCGAAGGGGCTCGCATTCACGACATCTTGCGGTTCGGATTCAAGGTGACCAACAACGAAGCTGAGTACGAAGCTCTCTCGCTGGATTACGATTGGCCAGAGAAATGGGCGTAACCGCGATCAGCATCCACAACGACTCTATGCTGGTCGTCAACCAAATCCTAGTAGAATACCAAGCCAAGGAAGAAAACATGATCCGTTATCTGAAAGAAGCTAAGGCCGCGCTCGAGCCATTCAAGCACTTTACAATCACCCAGATCCCCAGAGATAGCAACTCTGTGGCGGACGCATTGGCAAAGATAGCCTCATCGTTGGACTTAGAGGCACCTGATAGCATTCCTGTTCTGTTCATCGAGGCCCCGAGCATCAGTCCGACCGAACAGGCCGTGAATGTAACACAATCAGATTTCTGGATGACACCCATTTACTAGTATCTCAAGGATGGGATCTTGCCCGACGACAAGGTCGAGGCACGGGTCCTGCAAACAAGATCTGCTCGTTACTCTCTCGTTGGAGACCAGCTGTACAGGCGAGGATTCAGTGCCCCTCTCATTCGATGTGTGACTAGTGAAGAGGCAGATTATATCATGAGGGAAATTCATGAAGGGATCTGCAGTAATCACACTGCCGCACGATCTCTCGCGAACAAGGTTGTTCATCAAGGGTATTATTGGCCCCGGATCCAAGAAGATACTCTCAATTTTGTCAAGAAGTGTGATAAGTGTCAACGGTTCGCGAACATTTTGCGAGCCCCTTCGCATGAGCTGATAACGATGACTAGCCCCTGGCCATTTTCCATGTGGGGGATTGACCTTATCGGTCCCATGCCAGTCAGAAAAGGGGGAGTCAAGTATACCGTGGTCGCGATAGACTATTTCACAAAATGGGTGGAAGTTGAACCGCTGGCAGCGATCACGACTAGAAAGCTGAAAGACTTTGTTTTCAAGAATATAGTGTGCTGCTATGGAATTCCTCACACCTTCATCTCGGATAATGGAAAACAATTCGACAATGAGGAGTTCAAGCAGTTCTGCGACGAGCTGGGCATCCATAAAAAATTTGTCTCAGTCGCAAGACTGCAAGCAAATGGCCAAGTTGAAGCTGTCAACAAGACCATCAAGCACACTCTAAAGGCCAAACTTGGGGCAGCCAAGGGAAATTGGGCCGACAATCTCCCCGAAGTCCTATGGGCATATAGGACAACTCCGAGAACTTCCACCTCAGAAACGCCCTTTTCGCTAGCCTATGGCTGCGAAGCAATGATTCCTGTGGAGGTAGGAACTGGTTCTCTTCGGAGGGACTTGTACGATGAGGTTGAAAACGAAGCACTTATGAGAGTGAGTCTGGATCTTGTTGAAGAACACCGCAGCAAGGCTTTACTAAAGATAGCAGCCTACCAGCAACGCGCGAAGAGGTTCTTCGATTCAAAGGTCAAGCGAAGAGACTTCCAGGTTGGTGACCTTGTGCTAAAATAAGTTCTCCTCGGAACCAGGGAGCCAAGTGCGGGGGTTCTAGGACCAAACTAGGAAGGTTTGTACCAGGTCGACAAGGTGATCAGACCGGGGACCTACCATCTCAAAAGGCTAAACGGTTCCAAAGCACCCCGAGCTTGGAATGCCGAGCACCTACGGTCATACTATCAGTTATCCTGAACTCAGCTCTCATTGTAAATTAGCTTTTGATTTTGTTAAAGTTTCGTTTTTCCTTGTAAAATATTATTTTGTTCGCTTGTAACAGTTCGCATGTAATATTGCCTATGTAAATAAACTGAATTGTAAACTGCACTCATGTATGATTAAGCGAACAACAATTGAAAACAAAATGTATTTCATTTATGTACAACAAAAACTGTTGACCTTATTGACTCCTATTGGGTCGGCCTCATCGCACTAAGCCTGGTTGGTGGGGGGATTCTTCGAAGCAGAACTCGAACCCTTTGCCTGGTCGGATCCTCCAACGGCTGTTGCTTTATCATCTTCCATCGCCAAGGTCTGCAAGGCTTCAGTCCCCCGGGAGGTCGGACATATCCAGATTTGGGTTCTTTGGTCGCAGGGCATAGATGGACCGGATCGCCCAGTCGACAGCCTTATCCTCGACCTCCTCTGACTGGCTCCGCATTTCTTCAGTTAGGGAAGCAACCTTTCCCCAACTCTCCTGGAGCTCGACCTCAAGAGCTAGCCTTCTCTTTTCGGAGGCCTCCATTTCTTGTTCTGCTCGCTGAGCCCGCATTAAGGTTGTCTGGAGCTCCTGGTCCTTCTCTCCGACCTCCTTGGAGAGTCTAGCGGTTGTCTTCTGAAGCTCTTTTACTTCCTCCGCACGTCGCTCAAGCTCCGTATTTTGGAAGTCCACTGTACGCATAGCGGCCGTCTTTTGGTTCAAGTATCTGTTCGCTGCCTCAGCGGACAGCGCTCTTTCCGCTTTGGCGTCTTCCAGGCTCTGTTTGAGCTTCGCGATCTCCTCTTTCAGATCATTTTCCCCCTTCGTGGCTCCCAGCTGAGCCTTCTCCAGGGACATTCTCATGGCGAGCAGAGCCTGTGAACAAGAAATGAGTTAGAATGAAAATGGCGGACAAACTCTTCAAGAACAGTTTGTTCACCTTGATTAGATGTTGAACCGACGTGGTCATCAGGTCAACATCACCCATATCGGCGAACTCATCATATGATTCCGATAGTCCACACTCAAGTAGAGAGTAGACTACCGACTATAGGTATTCGGGCAGGTTCCCCAGCGCGTCCAGCACTGGTGTGTCTTTTGCCTTGTCGGCAGCAATTTTCTCATCCGCGGGTTCCTTGCCCGACCTCCTTCCGACATCCTGCTGCGACCTCAGGGGTTGATCATCCTCAGATTTGGTCTCTGACTCGTTGACCTGAATCTGCTTCCTCTTCTTCGACTGTTGAGCCATTGTCTTCCGCCTCGGGCAAGCAAGCGATGGCTGAGCGACCTATTCTATCCTGGTCGTTTCTTCCTCAGAACGGGGCTGGGAAGGCCCGACAGTTCGCATCGGTTGGGCAGCTATGGGGCGAGCAGCTTCGGCCGCCTTGGCCCTCCTCGATCGAGGGAAGTTAAATGGCACTCGTTGGGGCTGCTCGGACTCTTTTTGAGGCATGGTCGCTGCATGCAAGTACGTTAGTAACTAAACAAAAATTATTCTATGACTAGAAAGGAGTCAGTCGGCCCAACTTACACTCTGGGGACTCTAAAGATGCGTTATTTCTGAAAAAACCATACTTCCACAAGTTCGCGGTCGTCACGAGCTTCTTCGCATCCCGACTTTCTTTGGGGAGAACCCCAAAAGACACAATCCTGTCCGGGTCAGTGAGCAGGTTCAGGCTGGTCGACTTGTTAACTGCAAAAGAATACAGGTCGTTAGAAAAAGAAACGCACAGTTAATGAATCTAGCAAAGAGGAACCTACTTGGATCCTGAAAGCGACAGTAGCCATCGTAACAAAAGAAGAAAATCTTCGTCTCGTAAGCCCTCGCATTGCTGGGATAGCTATGTATCCCTACGACAATGGTAGTTCGTCGGGATAAGTAATATGAGTCCTTGTCCTTACTCCTTTTGAGGAAATACGCGCAGCCAAGCTCCACCATTGTTAGCTCGCCCAAGCCGCTCTCGCAGCACGCGATGTACATCACGACGGCGATGACATACGCGTTTGGCGTTAACTGCATTGGTGCGATCCTGAAGTGATCCAGGACCAACCTAATAAAAGGGTGGAAAGGAATCATCCCCCCACCCTTGAAGATCTCTTCGGAGATCGCAGTTAAACCATCAGAAGGATGCTGTAATGACTGGGTGGCATCGAGGAACACCTCCACGTGGACGTCGAACTGTCTCTTTACCCTCTCGAACTCCTCTCGGGTGAGAACTGAGAAGACCTCAAGGGATGCGTCCGCGAGAACATCCCGCAAAGACGAGCCAACTCCTTCCTCGGATCTGGACGCTGAGGGTTCCATTCCGTAGTTTGCAACAGCAACAGACAGAAGGTCATTTTAGCCATCGTACATTGCCCTGTATGGTGGCATGGAACAAATTCTCTAAACCCTAACAGTGACTCGAGCTGCCATTCACGGCTCGAACCCTACTCCAGCGTCATGTCTCGAACCCTACTCCAGCGTCACGTCTCTGATGAAACATCAGAAGACCCAATGCCATTGCACCACCATGAAAGCAAAAAAAAAAAAAAAAAACCTTACCTTTTGGGGCACGTGTCCGTGGACGGTTCTTGCTTCGGGTATCGGAGAGATGCCAATCAGAAAAGAAAAGCTTTTGGTTTGCGAAGATTTTTCGCTCGAGGTAAAAGAGATTCTGGTGGTATCGTCTGAAAAATTTGGGCTTTTATATGGACTATGAACTGGCATTTACCACCCTTCGGAATCAAAACGATGCCTTTCTCTCTCTCCGCATTAATTGCGCCCCACGCCGCATTTAATGATGTGATAAGAGTTGTCGTTTCGAGTGTGTCATGCAATTAATGCTCTGTCAAAGCAATAACGCGTTAGCACACAACAAATTTAATGCGCCTAGCAGACGCTTAACACACGCAGAGCGCCTGTCAACGTAGAAAATGCTTCATAAATCTCCATCCCTAAGGTACAGCAAGGAACACCTAATGAAGTCAGGTCGTTTGGGCGATGGCTGTCAGGTCGCTTAGGCAAGGGCCGTCAGGTCGTTTAAGCGATGGCTATCAGGTCGCTTAGGCGAGGGCCGTCAGGTCGCTTGAGTGATGGTTGTCAGGTCGTTTGGACGAGGTTCATGCAAGGTCGTGTTCGCAAAAGGCCCTATCCCGAGCTTCTTTCATTCAGGTCGGAATTGTCAGAACCTCCAGAAAACCTCCAATCGCGGCATGGCTTAGTTTCCAAGGTTCGATCCTCAAACCTTAAAAACTAAGGGACTTCTGTTATGCCTGGAAAATCAAGGGCTGACATGGGAAATCACGTGATGGAGTGTGACCTGCTCCTGTCAGAACAATAAGTGCGCGCCAGACCTGCCAGACGTTGTAGAGATCCCACGTGTCCATTCCCTGCTCCAAATCGCGTGAAATCAGTTTGGAAGGTGGGCAATGTGACATAAAGTCGGATTTTGTCCTGACATTCACACCAACCCACAGATTTAATGATGATTACTTGCACTCATCTCACTATAAAAAGGAGAAGACCCTTTCATTGAGGGGATTCGGCCATTTTACACTCTGAATTAGCTATCCCTCTCTCTCCTGTATCTTTGCATTTACTTTTCACTAATTATTTGTAAGTCAGTCCGCTGTTGCGACCTGACCCACAATATTAATACAATTATCGATGGATGTAGGACTTGCTACCTTACCATCCGAACCACTTTAAAAAGCTCTCACTACTACATTTACTACGCACTTTATCCATACTCACGTGTGTCTCTTGGCCAACTAACGTTACGCACGTGTCGATTAGTTGGTGTCAAGATCACGTATCAACAGCAGTCAACACAAGATATAGATATTTTGTGAGAGAGTGTTTGAGAGATGTCTCCAGAGTTTTGCATTGTGTGATATCTCTTTAATGGAGACGATAATATCCTTATAAAATGGCTAGGCTAGGGACCAAGATAACTCCTATCAACCATCTTTAATCTCTCATCAAAGATCAAGAGAGGTGGTTAAATAACTCATTTAAACCACATAATTGTGGCATGTGGCCACATCAAGTCTTACATGTGCCGGTAGCCTATAGTTACTTAGAGCCTCTAGAGGATTTGGTAGAGGGATTGCATTGTCCTTGGAGAAAGCAAGTTGTGAGGTTAGTGAATGATCAGGTGAAGCAGGCCTATTTCATGCCTCATGCTCAGGCATTAGTAGATATGCCTTGTTTTGTTCCATCAATAATAAACAAGAAGTAGGATGCTTTATGATAAATCAACCACCAATTAAAATTTTTAATCAAAGTTGTTAGTAGTAATTATAAATTTTCCAGTTTCAGAATACAACTCCGGGTCAAAGAAGGATTAAAGAGCTGCTATTCAAAGTTTGAACCGTATTCCCACAATCCAAGTTTTTTCCCAATTTCGCTTCCTTTAAATATATCCTGCTGCAATCAGTAAAATATATTAGAAAGAGGCGTGGCGCAATCAGTTAAGCGATATCTTTCTTAAACTTAAATAGGTATCTTCCCATCTAGTACTTCTTTTCTAGGAACTGTTTGAAAGTGGAAGCATAGGAGCTAGCAGAGTGTAGAGCAGGGAACGATCTGTTGCGGGCTATCATTCGTAGCTGTTATAACCACTCACACAAGAATCAACCAAACAAAGATCACAATCAAGAATCACAAATCACACACACAAGAACAACCGGAATTTTATCGTGGTTCACTTGCTCTATTTTTGAGCAAGCTATGTCCACGTTGAACTCAGGAAACACACGAGCTCGCTGCACTAAATCACTGTCAAGATTACAGATTACACATAGCAACACAAAACCCTCAATAACCCTCCTTCAACTCGTAACTCACCCTAGAGATTACACCCCTTGAATCCCTATAAACAGCGTATATAAATACACCCAGAATGACTTGACCCAGTCACTCAATCAACAAGTTACAAGATTCACTCAACCCAGATTGAAACCCTAAAAGACTCAAAATGGTGTTTAACGAAGAAGAGAGAGATTTGCCAAAAAGAATGCTGCGTTCGAAATGCCAAAACAACTCTGCTTTTATATGGTTGACATTAGGGTTTAATTCCAGCCGTTGGATCTTCTCTTCATCAACGCTCAAGATTGTTTTCTCAGTTTGGATCAAAACGACGTCGTCCCATTTAAGTTCTAATACGACAGTGTTTCAAGCCATCATCCAACAATCTCTACCTTGATGGGTTGAAACAACCCCTGTGCCAGTGCAGCTTGCCTTTAGTGAGTCCTTCATGGTTCTTTTGTTACCCTTGCTTACTGAATGGATAGCAGGTTCAAGCAATGCTTGAACTTAGCAAGTGTAACAATCTTCGTACCCATGTCTACTAGATTGGGCTCAGTAGGAACCTTATTGAGAGTTATCTCCTCCCTAGTGACCAGATCTCTCACAAAGTGATAGCGAACATCTATATGTTTGGTTCGCTCATGGTACACCGGGTTTTTACTCAGGTGTATTGCATTTTGACTGTCTGAAAAAATGGTTGGCTTCAGTTCAGACAGGTTTGCTTCACTCAAGATACCTTTGAGCCAAATTGCCTCCTTAAATACATCAACTACAGCCACATACTCAGCCTCGGTTGATGACAGTGCAACTATAGGCTGTAATGTCACTTCCAACTAATGCAGTTGCCCCCCAAGATAAAGTAATATGCTGTGGTTGACTTCCTAGTGTCCCTGTCACTTGCAAAATCAGAGTCTACAAAACTAGCCAGCTCCAATGAGGCCGATCTTTTACAGTATTCCAATCCCACATTCAAAGAGCCATTAACATACTTGAGTACCCATTTCAGAGCTGTCCAATGTTCCATACCAGGATTGGACATAAATCTACTTAACAATGATATCACAAATGATAAGTCAGGCTTAGTACTAATCATAGCATACATCAAGGATCCAATCACATTTGCATAGGGTATGGTCTCCATTTTAATTAACTCAGCATCAGTATTAGGGCATTGAGCCTTGCTTAATGTGAAATGGTTAGCTAAAGGCATTGAGACAGTTTTAGTCCCTGACATTCCAAATTTTTCTACTAACTTATGCAGGTATGAGCACTGGTGAATTTTCAGTTTGCATTTACTTCTATTTCTATCAATTTGCATGCCTAAGATCTTCTTAGCATCCCTTAGGTCTTTCATTTCAAATTCAGCATTCAGTTTATTCTTTAACACACAGATCGGAGGCTTTGATTTGCTTATCAGTAACATGTCATCTACATACAGCAGTAAGTAAATAGGTATC